GGTCCGCTCGGAGCGGTGGTCATGTCGCTGAAGAGGATTGGTTACGACCCTAAGGCGCTAGACTGCATCGTCAGGCCGAACGGTACGATCATCAACTTTCTTGAGGTCTCCCCATGGTACGCCAAGCAGTGTATCACGCTGGGCGTGAGGGCTTGGCAGATGAATTTCCTGGCAGACGGCACTCACGAGGACGTTCGAAGTGGCATGTTCCATCCGCAGTTGCGGCGCTGGTTCTCCAAGGGTGTGGGGAGCTCTAACCTGGCGAAGGACTGGGAGCCCCTCAACAGCAGCCAGCGGGGGTACGCGCGCTCGGTCTTTGTCCTCGGGCAGTGGCCTAACAGCAGGAGGTGCCACGGAGCCCCTAGGATCGCCCGCACGCCATGTTGCCAGTTGCACCCTGGCCAGCCTGGCACCCTCTGGCACAGGCACACGGCCTGCCAGGACAGCTGGCCGAGCCTGACGCTCCCTGCCGAGGTCAGCAAGCTTGTTCCCTTCAGCACCAGCGTGACCATTACTACCTTGCTGGAGAGGCTGGTCTTGCCCGAGCCCCTCCACGCGTGGCGTCCTCCAGGCGACGACCTACTTGCGCACGTGCAGTGGGTCAAGGGCGGCGACGGGTTCCCGTTTTCCGACACCGCGGTCTACTCGGACGGAGCGGTCTACGAGGCTGGGTCCTCGCTGGCGGTGGGGGCATGCGGCATGGTGCAGCTGCCTGGCGGCGACGACGACTGGGACCCTGGACCCGGGTCGGCCGTCAAGGATTTGGGCACGCCAGTGCCTGGGCCATTGCAGTCCATCGACGGGGCCGAACTCCTGGGGTGCCTGGCGCTTCTCCGCCACAGCCTGCCACCTATCACTGCGGCCTTCGACGCCTCGTACGTCACCAAGGGCCTGCTGGATAGGGGCGAGGCCAGTACCACCAAGGCGACCTCTGCCTGGGGATGCGCATGGAGGTGCGTCTGGGCAGCTCTGGACGACTTCGGTGGCATTGGGCCCCAAGGGCTCACGATTCAGAAGGTGAAGGCGCACGCCACGTCGGCCATGGTCCGCAACGGAGACATCACTGCACGCGACAGGCGAGGCAACTGGGAGGCCGACCGTACGGCGAGGGGGGTTGCAGTTGCAGTGGGGGCGCCGCTTGAGCTACGCGAAGCCTGGCAGCGGCGTTCGCTCACCCTCGACGGAGTTGTGCGTTGGGTTGCGCGTGCGGGGTGCGAGGCAGCTGACCTGAAGCTGGACATCGACCCGAACTGCAAGCCGATTCACAAGGGGCCTCCGCTCAGCGTCACAAGGCACAACGTCGTCAAGGTGGCGAGAGGTGGAGTACATTGCAGGGCCTGCCTCAAGACGGCGTACACGGACCTCAGCATCAAGAGGCTGCTCAAGGACCCGTGTGTGGCCAAGCCGTTTGCGCCCGTGGCTAGTGGCACGAGACGCAAGCCTACGGCGTCGGCGTTGGCTTCCGCAGGCGCTGTGGCGGTGGCGCTGGCGGCTGCGCACAGGCTCGAGCAGGAGGCGAGGAGCGCTCACGTCGGTGAGCGCGTGGCGTACCCCGACGCCGAGCTCCAGCAGGAAGCGCCGAGGCTTGCCGACGCCGCCCGCGAGCATCCTGCTGCGGGCTCGCAGGATCTGCAACGCCCCGAGGCGGCGGCGGCAGGCGGTGGCACCGGCAGCAGCAGCAGCGGCCAGGATCCTTCGCCTGGCGATGCCCTTTTGCGCGCAGCGGCAGCTGCCCGCGCTGCGCGCGAGGCCGAGGGCAGGGCGGAGGCGGATCCCGCCGACAGCCAGGCAAGTGCAGGCCTCGAGGTCGCCCAGGTCTCCATGTCGGAGGACGGGCCCGAGGGATCTGGCACCCAGGCAGCTGGTGGGGCAGGCCACGAGTTGCTCAGCATCAACGGCTTCAGGATCTGCACTCGTTGCAAGGCCTATGCCAAGGAGCTCAACGGCAAGCACAGGTCGCTCGGCAGGTTGTGTGTTGCGGCCTCTGGCAACGCGCTGCGCCTGCGCAGCCTGAAGATTGCCAACATCAGGGCTGGCCTGGACCCGAAGACGGGCAGGCGCCTGAGTGAGTGATTTGGGGGGTGCCTTCGGTGGTCTAGGCCTTTTCAGGCCTGGCACGGGGTGGATGGTGGCTTGCGTGGCTGCCTCACCTGACGGCGCACACCCACGCAGCGTGGCGTGCACGCTGCTTGCGGAGGCCGCTGTTTGCGGAGCCTCCCAGCCGCGCTCTGCGGCTCGCGCCATTTTGGCGGCGGGATCGGCTCGTGCTGCACGAGCTGCCTGGTGTGTACAAAAAAAACGGATCCAATCCGCAGGTTTTTATGTACGTCTGTTATCATATATTAGGCCTATCTTTGGGCACGAATCCACACCAGGAGGCCCCAGGAGGCTCCAGGAGACTCTAGGAGGCTCTGGGAGGCCGCACGAGGCCCCAGGTGGATTCAGGAGGCCAGAGGAAGCCACACGAGGCCACAGGAGGCCTCAAGAGGCTCCAGGAGGTCCCAGGAAACCCCACGAGGTTTCAGGAGGCCCCAGGAGGCCCCAG